CTGAAGGATGGGAATGGAGATCCATAAACACAAAGGATTCTTTTCATTGGCATATTTGCATTAGGTAGAACAGACAAAATAAAAAGACATACTCTTTAGGGTTCAGTCACACAAAGCTTGGATATCTTTTCCATTACAAGTTTTTGTTGAGAAATTGGAAAACTCAAACTGGTACTCACTGATCCACATAAACAAGTTTTAGGGCAGAATATGTTAGCAACTCAGTATTATTTCAGACTTCATTTTACAAGGGGAAAATGATAAGAACAAAAAGATAAATGTTCAAAAAGGTTTAAAGGACAATTAATATCTAAACAGCACAAGAGATTGAAGGGACTGGTTTGATTGGTACGGACAATATCTTCATCCAAAATACATGGATTTCTGACAGAGGTATTGTTGAAACCAGACAAAAACCTTTTTTTCATTGTGAAGACAGTCATACCTTTTTCTACATTTGTCACAATGAGCACTGTTCAACGAGAAGACCAGAAAAAATATGGAAATACAAAGTAAGAGACGCAGAGAAAGGGGTGCTTCTGTAGGAAATGATGAAGAGCCGGCCAGACAGTTTAATGTATAACATATCAAGTCAAATACTTACATACCCCTTACAAAAGTAATGACTTGCCAAAGATGCAGACAGCATATTTGGAATAAATGTAACCTGGTTTCAGAGAAGAATAACAAAGTAGAAAGGGAGCACATAAATGAAGAGGAAAAAATATTTGGGAGGTGTTTTTTGTAGTGCTTAAGAGTGTTCACCAATCAGAGATGCCATAGAAACATAGTTGTCTTCTTTTTTGTATGGGATTGACACTTTTTTCCATTTTATATATATACATATGATTTTTTTTTTGTGAAGCTTTTTATTTATTGTTTTTATTTTGTATTTTATTATTATTTATTTTTCATTTATTTACTTTTCTTTTTTTGGTCCTTGGTAACTTGCATTGTGAAGCAGTACATATTTTCTGTAGCGTGCTACCTTTTATACATCAAATCACCAGCAAGACTTGGTGAAAGGGTCAAAACCACAAGGATGTTTCCTGGCATTCTGGCTCATTCAAACATCTTGTAGACACCATCCTAACAAAAAAGACAGGTTTAACACCAGATTAACACTGGAGTTAGGAGTTAGTTCCAAATATTGAGTATGGGACACTTCCCTCCTATTACACTCATATCTTGGGAGTTTCGAGGAGTATATATGCAACTAGTAGTTATCTGTTGTACAGTGTCTGCCACAGCTGTATGGGACAGTAGCTACGTTCATGAAACAGTGTTCTTATTGTTGCTTCCCTGTGCTTCTGTGTGAAGTAGATATCAGAGCATCACTCACATCACATATCTCTGAAAAACATATTTTCTTTCTCTTGAAATTTTGAGTTCTGGTTATATGATATCATTAATTATTTTAGAGAATTTTAGAGAATTCTTGTAGGCTTGTGGGCAGTTTATCTAATTTCTGTATTATGTATTGGAGTAGCAATGAAATCTTAGTCTTGCAAGTTATATTTCTGCATCTTTGCCCAAGCATTATCCATGAACGTAGGTACTTCGATGTATGCTTGGGATTGGTTTGAAGTTGATGCTTCATTGCATGTGCCAAGAGTACAGGCTATTTGCTTGCATGTTTCCAGTTACAACTAGTTTTACAGCCTACTTTTCTAAAGTACAATGTACTTATAGCCAGCTTTTGAAAAAAAAAGCTGTTGCTGCATTGTAATTTGGTTCCAGGATGCCTTTTTGCATAATAGCAATTCTGTTTATGCCTTCTCATGGATTAAATCAACATTGTTATTTTGCAGTGACTTCAGATTGGTTGTGAATAAGTATGAATCTTGTTTGGAGCCTTGATCTCTTAATGTGAAGTTCCACATTTTCATATTCAGTGTTTGTTTTGATTTTCATGCATATTGCTTTGTTTCTTCCCATTTAAGGATTCAATATTTCACATTAATTGTTACCAGTTCCAGTATGATACACTTCTGTAGTGCTACTTTCTATCTTACAGCATAGAATTTAATCAGTTAAGTTACAAGGTAATTGAGAATATGAAAATATGCCTACCAGGTAAACCAACTTTAACTTTATCAAATTTAATCTTTTTCCCCCCGCATTAGATTACTTCTAGCCCCCCCCCCTCTTAATCCCTTGTCACTGAGTCATGCAGACTGACAGGTGTTGATGATGTCCGAGGTCTAACAGAGAGCTTATATTTCTCTTCTTTCTGATGATTGCAGTCAAGCATCTCAGAGCTGTCAGGCTGCTTGGGAATGCTTTACTAATGTGCATGGTTCCTGATGCAATTTTCCTATTTGTAAGATATATTAATTGATAAGGATATTTCATAGCAATAGTTTTTATGTTTGATAATATATATATATATGTATATATATATATATATATATATATATATATATATATATATAATATATATATGTATATATAGATAGATAGAGATAGATATAGATATAGATATACAGATATGTGTGTGTGTGTGAACATAAACACAATAAAGTGTACACAAAGATGAAATGAAGACAACCACAATAAGAAATGAAATTGAATTGAAAGTTTTGAAAAGTTTTGAACTCTATGATTTTCTTACCAGACAAATATTCAACTGAAATGGATCTCCATTTTAGTTAATTATTTGTTTGATGAAGAACTTTAAAATATTATATTTTAATTCAATATCTTATTGTGTCTTATTGTGTGTTCAAATATATATATGTATACACACACACATACATATACATACATATAGATACATATACATATATATATATATATATATATATATATATATATATATATATATATATATATATATATATATATATATATATATATATATATATATATATATATATATATATATATATATATATATATATATATTTATATATATATATTATATATTATATATATATTATTATATATATATATATATACATATATACATATACATATGCATAGTACACACACATACATATACACATATATATATATATACACACCCACATGTGGTAAAAGTCACATATATGTATGCATATACACATATATGTGTATATATACACATTTATTTTTACATATGGATATGGATGTATTTACATATATATGTATATATATATATATATATATATATATATATATATATATATATATATATATATATATATATATTTATATATATATTTATATATATTTTATATATTTTATATAATTTATATATATATTATATATATATATATTATATATATATATGTGTGTGTGTGTGTGTGTGTGTACATATGTATGTGTATATATACATACACACAAGTACATAGCCACACTTATACACACAGGCAATTACACAGCCACGCATACATACACGTGTGCAAATGTACATGCACACTTGCGTATAAACATGCATCCTATAAGACTTTGCATTTAATAATTTCCAAATCATTAAGTTTTGATATCTAATTATTAGACTCATTTTAAGACAGTACTTGTTGAAATGAAAGTCTTAATTATTCATTTAAGTGATTTTATAGATTAGTGATAAATGAGGAAGCTAAATATAATCTGTGTGCTTAAGAGACTTGCTGAATACAAACATAGCTTTGGGAAAATTATGTTTTTAACAAGACATTGAGGAAAGGTATGAATGTGAGTGAATGATTTCAAAATGCATTAGATTTAACCCACTGAAGAATGTTGATGAGCTGTCACATCATGATACATAATCGGATGCTTGATAATGCTTCATGTTGATATGACGTATTGTCTAGGTGAGCTTTGATGAATTCTAATGAACTTTTCTGTGAACTGGACATTAATAGCGGTGCAAACTAATGCAGATCGACCCTTACTTGACTTTACTGAAAATTTTATGTTATTATTGGGTTAACTGAAGTTTAGGTAGTCACATCAGGATTTGAGTTTTTTGAAGATTTATAACATCCAGAATATCAGTTGAATATTTTAGTTATTGGAAGTATTTGAACTGCTTCTCAGCATTTGTTGCATTGAATACTGTTCATCTGACAAGATAGATAAATCTCGGAAGGGATGAGAGCTCTGATTAAAGGAGCTAATCAATTTATATGATTATTCATGCATTTTTAAAGGCAAGAAGTCAGCAGGTGTTTGTATATGTGTGTGTGTGTGTGGTTGAGTATAAGGACTATAGTCAAGAATGTGGGGATGTGGGTGTCCTAGCAGAAGTTAGCAGCCAAGAGGAGCAATCGCACACCTGGTGTGTTGTAGATGCACTTGACGGCAAGTTGTTCTGTGAGGCACCTAACATCTGATCACAACTTTTCCTGACACCCAAGTGTGATTTTCAAGTGTAAGACTAGCCGATAAAGTGATGAATAAAATGTATGAACGAGACATGTAGATCATGAATAAAAACAGAAAGCAAAAAGTATGCATGTCTGAAGCACTAGCACAAGTTTGTGATTATATTTACTGCTTTCCTCGTTTTAGCTATTCTTTTACAAAAAATTAAGTAAAACAACATACTACTAGTATGTTATTTTACTTAATTTTTGATATATAAAAGAATTCACTTAGAGTCTTCCTCTCATATTTGCAGTCTGTAGTCTTGGGCAATCATGAACCAAGATAATTATCATAGACACCTTATTATAGGGCATGTTTATTTTTTTGATTACTGGTATCATATTAGATCCCACATCAGACATCTTCATTGCTAGCACGAAGATTTTGCATTATGTAAATACTTTTATTATAATATCTAGTTGAATGCTCCTTTTGCCTATGCTTAGACAACCTTCATATGAGCCTTAGGCAGGTTATTGACGAGTCTCAATCTGTTTGCAATGATTGGAAAGTCAGCCACATATTATGACTCTTTGATTAGTAAAATCTGTTGTGGCTCCTCTTCCAATCAGTGTCAGAGATAAAGGAAGATGAGAGACCCGTTGATCTCCCTCTTCTAAGGCTCATACCCACTAATCTTGTCATGAAAATTACCCCTGCAGTTGATGCTGATGAGATTCGCCGACTTGGCAAGCGTTTCCGCAAGCTGGATCTTGACAACTCTGGCTCACTATCCGTAGAAGAGTTTATGTCTCTTCCAGAATTACAGCAGAATCCATTAGTTCAGCGAGTCATAGACATATTTGATGCCGATGGCAATGGTGAAGTGGACTTTAAAGGTGAGAAGGATAACCTCCTGAAGATTTTACTGTAGAAATGTAGTTTTTAGTTTCTTGCAAAGCTGTATTAAAGAATAGGGAGTAAGTGACTGTATATGACAAGTATATTTCCTCATATTATATACAGGAATGGAATAAAGTATATGAATTGATTTTCTTTTTCTGATAGTAATTCAGGTTTTCTGCAGGGATAAACATTGATCAAGTTGTCAATATTATCAGTCTAAGAAATGAAAAATTACACCTTGTGAAATATGTAACTTATTATTAATTTTAGAAAAAAGAATATTGACCCATAAAGAATAGGTGGTCTAGCTGTGTGAAAGCAATTCAGTGAACCGTTTGCTATTTGGCAAACATGTATTATTTGATGCGAGATAGTGATGCATGAGAGACCTTTAAAGGGAAAAATATACTAATCGATTGTGCAAACTGATGTGATAGATTCTTGCATATGTTAGCAGAGTAACATGCATTAGTTCTTGTTTATCTTTTTTTTTTTAAGAAAATATAATGTTACAGAGTGAAGCAAAGGAATTTGTTTCTGCAGTTAAGTTGTATTAATAGAAAGATTAAACCTTATAGAGAATAAGTAAGTTAGACTGTTTTTTCTCCGCACTTGCCATTGTTATTGACTGAACTGGTAGCATCTTGAATAATACAGCAGTTGCATCATTTGAAATAGATAAGTATCTAAAATGTAGTCATTTCTGATGTATATTGGACATTATTATAAAGTATGATCCAAATAATGAAAAGCACAGTAATAGTGCTCTAAAAGGCATTATGTTGGACAAATGTTTGGTGTTAGATATGACTGTTATACATACACACACACACACACACACATATATATATATAATGTGTGTGTGTGTGTGTGTGTGTGTGTGTGTGTTGTGTGTGTGTGGTGTGTGTGGTATATATATATATATATATATATATATATATATATATATATATATATATATATATATATATGTATGTATGTATATGTATGTATGTATGTATGTATATGTGTATATGTATGTATGTATATGTGTATATGTATGTATGTATATGTGTATATGTATGTATGTATATATGTGTATGTATGTATATTTGTGGTGTGTATATATGTATGTATATTTGTGTGTGTATATATGTATGTGTGTCTGTGTATTTGTGTGTCTTTGTGTTTTTCTTTTTGTGCATGTGTCTGTGTGTATATGTTTATATATGTATTTTTATACACACACACACACACACACACACACACACACACACACACACACACACATACACACACACACATATACACACACATATACACACACATATACACACACATACACACACACACACACACACACACACACACACACACACACACACACACACACACACACACACACACACACACACACACACACACACACACACACACACACACACACACACACACACACAAAGTATACATATATAGAAATTTTCCTGTATTTTTAGGAATAAAGTATAACCTTTGTGTTCATATTATGTAGCTAGATTAGATCTATATTTTCATAAATAAGATTGAGTGTTAAAGTTAATATTTTACCACATTTTTTTTTTTGTTTGTTTGTTTTTTTTTTTTTTTTTTTGTTCTTTTCCTGTAGCATGATTAATGAATATTGTTTTTCATATTTGATTCTTATGAAATCAAACTTTGATTTTATTTTGCAGAATTCATCCAAGGAATGTCACAATTCAGTGTGAAGGGCGATAAGGAGAGCAAGTTGCGCTTTGCCTTCCGAATTTACGACATGGACAATGATGGCTATATCTCAAATGGGGAACTATTCCAGGTCAGTGAAAGGGAATGATTGTATATTCATTGTATTTTTTGTAGCAGAATGATTCTCCTATAACTACAGGGTTCGTACCGTAATCTAACCCTACTGGGTTTTCCAGATTATCATATTGTTTTAAAAGTTTACAAAATGAAATTTATCCGTTTATTTGTTAATTATAATATAGGCCTAACTATGTGTGTAGTGTATTTGCATCTTTATTTTATACCCTTTCTGTTTTATTTTGCTAATGTCTATATAATGTATATATGTATATGTATGTCTATATATACATATATATGTATGTTTGTTTGTATATATATCTCCCTCCAAAAGTGATACATCATCTAACTCTTTAATTATCATCTAGGTAATTCAATATTTTTGATATAAAGATTACCATTTATTTTCACCCAGAGCTGCATTTTTATCAAGTTTTTGTGCAAATTCAATTAATCAGCATGCACAGCCACGACTGAAAGACTGTCAAAGATTATCTTCAAAGCACTTTTGAAAGCAGAAAATGTTCTCAGGATTGGATTCTCTCTCATCCTTCCTCTCTTCTCTTCTTTTCTCTTCTCTTCCCAGCACCTTCTCGCATCCCTTACCCACTCGTCTTTTTTCCTCCACTCTTCATAACACAACCATCATCTTTTTTGCCTTTCCTTTGCCCCCATCCACATTCTGCCCTGATCTCTAGACCATTCTATTTATATGTTATTCTGCTATTTCTAGGTCCTTAAAATGATGGTGGGCAACAACCTGAAAGACACACAGCTGCAACAGATTGTGGACAAGACCATTCTCTTTGCCGACAAGGATGAAGATGGCAAGATCAGTTTTGACGAATTTTGTGCAGTTGTTGGCAACACTGATGTCCACAAAAAGATGGTGGTTGATGTTTAAGTTTGCAGTCATGGTTGTTGATTTGGGTGCCACTGGCCGAAGGTGCAGTACATGTTATGCTTTCTTTGACTTCTGTCTCATCCATTAGGTGACTTTTTTGATGACACATATGTCGTCTGGGTACATCCTCATCAGTGTGGGGTACAGAAACATCCTTTTGATACTCAAGATGAAGGCACAGTGTTTTTAATATAGCAGAATGCAACAGTGTGGTGAGCAGATCTTTAGATTCTGCTAGCTGATAGCTCCTTATGTGTCAAAATTTGTGGTGAAAATGTAATCCTTAAAAGAATAATGGGAATCTACTTTGATATTTGTGTAGTTATGGCTATTAGTCAACTTTTATCTGTAGTTCAGTAACACTTTCATTTGTGTGCTTTTTTCATGTGGAAATGTTAACTGTCATACCCTATGAAGTGGTATCATGGATTTAAGGAATCATATATTGTTGTTCATTATTATTTATATGTGTATAATTATTTTGATTTTTCCTTATAGAGCCAAGGCTCAGGTGGCACTCTGCTGGTAATTGTTTAAGACATATTGATATTTCTCTTCATGTTTGAGCTTATGTATGAAGTGTTTATGCATTTGATCTCATACACTTAACTCCCTGCATAGCATCTATATAGTATAAATATCCCCTTTATTTCAGAACTGAAGTTGTTGATCATTGAGTAGTAGTAAATTCCCTCACTTCATACATGCATCACAATAGTTTTTGTTATATATTTGTAAACTTGTGGACCGTAACAGAAATGTGGTTTTGCAAGACTTTTCTATTTTATGTATTGTGCATAATTACCTGTAACACTCCCTGAGGAGGCATATGGCAGGATCCTTGGGGAGTTCGTGTCATCGTGACTGGATGGGGAGGCTCAAATTCTGAGTGTACTTTGCAGGCCCTGGGTGGCTGTGTTGGCATCTAGTTTAGGGCCTCTTAATTTTTATCTGGGAAGAGAGGAAATTGAATGCAAGGTCATAGCCTCCTGTTGATTTGTATTTTTCTTTTTTTTTCTTCTTAATTTCACATTTGATGTTTGAAAAGTCTTGGATAGAATTTTTGGAATGGCAACAACATTGTGTAAGGAGTTTCATGCTATACATGTGAAAGAGAAAGGAAAAATGGAGGGCTAGTTTTGTCTCACCGATAAAGAATCGAGTTAGGTTTTCAGTAAGCAAGAGTTAAATTGTTGTATTAACACATTTACAGTGTGTATGTATTTGTTTATTTTTTATAATTATTATTTTTTTCTATTACAAGTGTACACCTTCAGAATTTGGGCCAGATAGGGTTGTGTGTACAGACTGGCCTCATTTCTTCATCAGTTAGAGGCTAATAATAAATAGTTTCAAAATATTGTTGTTAGATGTATGTTTATGTACTTTCATATCATTTTTAAAGAAAGAAGTTACAGAGTAAGAATGAGGATGTAGCATGACCCTAGGCAATTAGAACTCCATCAACCTACGTGCAATACACCTGCTCAGGCAGAAGTCCTGTGCGCTGCTCTAGCTAGTCAATATTGCTCGGTCACTATATAGCATGAAAGCCGCCACAGGCTGTTCCTAACAGCTGTTATTGCAAAATATTTTCTAATGTTTCATGAAAAGCATTTGAGCCAAATCTGTTCATATTACACAGTATAGTACCCAGAAGCTAAGTGAGTAAAAAGTTTCTACATTTATATTAGCTGAGTGGGAGAAATAGTCAGATGTATAAATTTATCACTCAAGAGTATATTGAACTTGTATTATAAAGATAGGTGGTGTGTAACATGAACTCAAGTTAATATGTAATGACCTCATTTTCAAGACAAAAATTAAAAAGTTACCAATTGCTGTGTGACTATATATTGTTTAGGTAATAAATTGGTTCCCTTTCTATCAAGTTGAAAAAAGGAAAATGTAGGTTATTGGGCTCAATGATGTTGATCTTGGAGTCTCTTGGCTTTCCCTCCATATATAGGACCATGTCTCTTGTAAATTTAAAATCATGCTTCTGGTGTTCTCGCTGTGAGAATTGCGAAGAGGAATGTTTTGTATATGAAATATTTTATCATGTCTAATTGTCAGGTATTTGTAAACTGTAGAAACCCTTTGTTTGTTCTAGTGTCATCAGAGATGTAAGAAATTGAATTTATTTCATATAAGCCAAATATGGCTATATGTTGTCTAATGATTTATTAAAATTTCAAATAATACTCTTTATGTCAACCCCTTTGGAACAATGCCAATGGCAAGATTGCTCAAGATGACGGGAATCCAGAGAAAACCTCTTAGGGTAGAGTGATCCTATTATATTTTTATATTTTAATTTAATTAATTAATTTTTTTTCAAATCTATATGTTCATAGTTGGAAAGTATCAGGAATCCATGGTTTTTAAAATCTTCAATTAAGGTTCTTTCTAAAGATAAAACGTTTTATCACGCGTGTACATGTACCCCCCAACCCCATCTCCACATCCACATGCCCCTCCCCCCCCCCCCTCCTCATATAAAAAAACACATAAAATTACATGGAATTACATTATTTAAAATCATATTACATACTCTCAAATGAACATTATAACATTATAAGCACACCAGTACTTGTACACATTTATTTATGCACAGATATATACATACATCTATATGACTACTACTGGTGTATATACATATGAATAAAAAAAAAGAAAGTATATTCCTCTGTGTATATTATGCATTTAAATAGATGATTTATTTATGTACTTTTTAAAATCTCCCTTTTCCTTGACATGATGACATGTTTCATTTGTTAAACAATCCTTCATATGAACCTCGTACAGGACTACTTACATTATCAGAAAAAAAGTGTTTACATACAAACAAGCAAGACAAGATATGCCAATGTTTGGATATAGCATTGGCAATTTTTTCTCCACTACATATGATCATCTTTGACAGCAACACATACTAGAGATGATGAGGAAAGGTCATTTTTGCCTGTGCTCTCATGGGGGAAGGTAGGTTGAAGCAAAAAGCCAATTGCAGTTATTCCAAAGGGGGTTTATATTTATCTTACGCTGCATAGTATTGTTGTAAGTGTGCATGAGGGCTGAAAGGTAAATTTGTAATGATTGGAGCATTATTTTCATCAATATTATTCTCATTAATATGAAGGATATTTGTTCTTGCCATTGAGACTGTTGGTGTTTATATCATTACTGGCTAGGATAAAAGATTTAAAAAAGAGAATGTGACATGATAATCTAGAATAGTGCATATTATATTTATCTGTGAACTTTAATTATTTATGTGCAAGAAGTTCCCACTGTATGTAAGGTCTTTTTTTTTTTTTACACACAAAGCTACATCAGATACTATAAGAATTTGTATATGGCTGGTTAACTTTTTGATATTTAATGTTTTTGGTCACAAAGGAGGAGTATTTAAACTGCAGTTTCCTTCTATTATTCCTCATTATGGGATATTAAGGGAATTTTTAAAACTTGATGAACTTACAGATAATGATACCAGAATGATGTTCAACCTGAAGGAAAGTGTTCATTTAAAAAGTACTTAGCAGTCTGCCTTTAATATTTATCTTGAATCTACAGAAAAGGACTGCAGAAACTTTTGGTATTCTCAGGACTTGGTCAATTTGGTCATAGTATGTTTTCAGATGTTTACTTATTGTGTAATTGTGTGAGACTTGCAATGTTATTATCTTTTGACAGTGAATATTATTGAAATTTAAATAAAGAAGCATTTTATGATTTGACTAATATTTTTTTTACAAACCACACGCGAGTAATTTGGTGGGTCGGAGTATTTAGTGATTTGTAATTACAGTCCTATTATCCTCAGTGTTTCTTCACTTCTCCTCTTAAGCCTTCTTGTTAATTCATCACACTTGTTAATAGAACTGATAAGCATGTACATAAATGCGTATATATATATATATACTTTGGTAACGTGCGCACAGTCAGTAAAATATGAATTTACAAGGGTTGTTGGAAAGATTGAGTCATACCAAGACTTATAGGTTATGAACATCACAGATTGTGTTATGTAGTGACTAGAAAGACGCCTTCAAATTGCTGGTAATGAGATTTGTAAGTTTTCTGGAAATAACATTTAAGAGTTTAAACTATATATTAGGGATTTTATTTATTTCAATTGAATGTGTTCCAGATATCTCTTGAATTTTTCATTTTTAAAGTAAGGTTGCATAGAAATTTGGTTGCCAGCTGTATTTGCTCTTCTTATGCCCCATTGGAAGGTTTACAAATATTAGTTGTTTTGAACTATTGATAAAGCTCAAGCTTCAAAGTTCAGTAGGTCAGTTTTGTGTTTGCCAAAAGAAAATTTATCACATGAGTAATATTCTCCATCAATTTCATTAATACCATAACAATTGTTTATTAAAATTTCCCCATAACTTCACTTTTATGGTGTTTCTAATTTCCTTTCAATGATGATTTTTATGAGGAAGAACTTGTAATTTTTTTTTAAAGAATTCCCCCCCCAATCCCTAGCCCGTTGTTGTCGTGGGGGGGCTTAGGAGACAGAGACTGAGGCCCAATGCAGGGAATCTCTTTTTTTCCCCCCTTTCTTATCTTCCCCAACCCTTCTATCCAATTCCTAAGGTGTAAGAGCCATGTTGAAAGGATGAAAGGCTGACCTTGTGCCAGTCATGAACGGCCTCAGAGAGCCATGGTATTCCTTGATAAATCATTAAGCCCTTACCCCTTATGGGGACCCTGTGGGGTAGACCTTTTTACTTTCCCCACATATCAGGCTAACCATGGCCAGTAATGAAGATTTTGTACCCTTATTAGGGGCACTGAGGCTTACCAATTTATCAAATAGCCTCTCTGAATCGAACTCCTCTAGTTTACCAACCCCTGACTTCCCTTTGACCATGGCTCTGACCACTGTTAGTACACCTCCCTCTTCTTTACATACTGCCAACTTGACCCATCTCGAATCATATACCCAGGCTACAACTCAACCCTTAAAATATATCTCAGCCTCACTTCCAACATCTTCCAGCCCACTTCCTGAACAATCATCTTCACATTCTACCTCCTTCCTTATTACAACTCTTCAACCTTGTTCCACAATACAACCTCACTACACACCACTCCCTTCTCCTCCCCCTCCACAATACAACTTCACTTCACACAACTCCCTCCTCCTCCCATCCTCGTCCTTCTACAATTCCCACTTCCTCAAATCTTTTGAGTAATCTCTTTAGACCAACTAAGTGGGACCGAATTTTTGTAGTTCTGCCAACAGCCACTCACTCCGATAATACCCTATTCTTTCAACAATGTAAAACAAGTTGGCAAAGTTTCCTTCCGCAGTCATCCTGATCGCTCACGCTTAATCACAGTTACATTTAAGACTCAAGCCAAAGCACTCTCTACCCTGGTTGACCTCACTGGCAAACCTATCCCTGTCCAACCTCACCCCTCCCTTAATACATGTACTGGAACTGTTTCCATTTCCTCAACTACTTGCTCTGTCTACGGAAAAAAGTGGTCAGACTGTGAAAAAGACCTGCTTGCCTGCCTCACTGAATACGATGCTGTATTAGTACAATGCAACATTATTCCCCCCAGAGGCAAGCGTAAGTCCAGCATCAATATTGCTAAGATTAAATTTCGTAGACACGACCTTCCCCATAAGGTTTATGTAGGAGGGGAATCTTGTCCTGTTAGACCATATCAACCCCCACCCTGTCAATCTCAGAAATGCTGGCATTTTGGCCACCCTGCAAAGCACTGTCACTCCACAGCCCACTGCCCACTGTGTTCTCTACCTGGTCATGACTGTTCAAACTGCCCTGCACAATCACGTACATGTGCTCATTGTGGTGGACCCCATAATGTATTTTATAGAGGCTGCACTGCCTACAAATTTGAGAGTGAAGTAGCAGTTCTCAGATACAAATTTGGCCTCACTCTACGAGAGGCAAGACAAGAAGCGCGACGACGAGGTTTTTCAATCACTCCTTACTCCAATACCTTACTTCAGTTCACTTCTATCCACTCTATGCAAATGGTCTCTACATGTTCGGCACCACCTTCCCCTGTTCCTCAACTTCCCACCTCTCCTACCCCTATCTCCCAGTCAATTCCCTTTTCCATCCTAAATCCAGATACTCCAATATCCATGACGTCCCCTATGTCACTTCCTACTTCATGCCTTACCTATCGCATCAGACAATCCAACCCCATCCCATCTTCTACCAGATCCCGTCTCACACCTACACCCTCAAACCCTCAGATGCCGATCTCCTCTTTACCTCCCCATAAAAGATCCTTCTTTTCCCAAACCTCCCCACCCAAATCCCTCCAGAGACCATTGAGGACATTTTCTATGCATGTATGTATAGTTCCCTCTCAGCCATCCACCAGTTTCTCTACCCAGATTCCGGCTGCATGCAAAGTGACCGCAGAAATCCATCCTCCCCTCCTCACATCCCCCCTACCCCTCTTCCTCCTACACCTTCCCAACACACCCTATCCATTCTCTACTCTCGACCTTCCTCCATCACCCTTCCTTTCCACCTCAGAAATGCTTCAATATTTGACGGCCAATGTACTAAACGCAGCCTATACAACCATTCCTCGAACTTTCCGACCTTACACTTCTAAATGTGTTCCATGGTGGAACTTTGGTTGAAGCGCACAGCTTGGACAGCTACCTTTACGAGAGAAGCACCCCCTGTCAACTAACAGCCTTCATATCTTAAAAAAAAAAAACATCAGCCCACCTTCGCCGTACAATCCGTAACTCCATGACAAACAGCTGGCAAAACTATGTATCCTCCATAACATCCTTTAAACCAATCTCTGCAGTCTGGCTGCGGATCTATAAATTATCAGAAAACATCCTCCTCATCCCGCCCCCCGTCCTCCATATTCATAATAACCTCATCTCTGACCCTCTTCAAGTAGCTACTTCATGCTTTTTTTACTCAGGTCAGTAGTGGCTTTCGCCTTTCTCCTCACTTCTCCTCCTTAAAATCAGACAAAGAATACACTCCTATTCCTCCCTGTCATCTACAGAATCTTTTCCTGAAATCTATAATGCACATACAGCAACACACAACCATAAAGGCCCAGACGATATACATTACTGTATGCTACGACACCTTTCACACCACTATTCCTCTTCTTTTCTTTTAATAATTCAAATTGGAAACTTTCCTCCTCAATGGAGAGAAAGGCATAGTACTACTTTTTCTAAAACCAAAACAAAACAGGCACCCTTCCTCAAGAACTACCGCCCCATAGCCATATTCCCTGTGCAAATTAATAGAAAGGATGATAAACTTCAGACTAACATGGTACTTCGAATATCACAAAATAATTTCTCCAAATCAACTCGAATTCCGTTGTGGTAGAAGCACAGCTGATCCACTGGCCAATGCAGAAACACTGCTGTCTTTTTCGAGCTCGAAAAAAAAAACATGATACCAGAGCCATGGCGGCACAAAAAACCTATAAAATCCTTCCTCTCTGACCGTACCTTCCGTGTCAGATTTACCTCTCTACTACTTCCTCAATTTTTAATTCTAATTTAATTTTTAATTTAGTTTAATTCCTCAATTCGAGGGTATCCCATTGTAAGGCAATGTACTTAGCACCACATTGTGCCTCATAGCTGTAAACTGATTAGTTTCAGCTTTTCCACCAAGAATCCGACCATCACTATATGTGATGATCAAGCCACCTTTTTCTCTGGCCTTCCATACAACTTCTCCTTCAACGTATCCAGTCGTCACAAAACATCTCTTTCTTGGGCTACTCACGGCTTTCGAACCTCGGAAACCTTCTCCAATCCTCTCTCGTTCTCTTAGGCTCCCAACCTCCAACTCCTATATTGCCATCCTATTCTTCTCTCCGGCAAAGTTTCTTGGTGTTATTTATTGACTCCAAGCTATCCACATATCCTCTCCTAAGATACTCCTTCCCGATCTTTGCGCCTCGCAACTCCTTGGCAAAGATCATAGATCTCTAGGGTTCCATCCTACAAACCCTCTCCTTAAGAGCCCTAGTGATCTCCCTAAATTACAAAGCTCTCCATTCTCCCGTCCCTCTCTCCCTGCTCTTGATATAAGCTGCCATACACTTCACCCTCTGTCTCCTCTCTTAGCCCTTTTCAGCACCGAAGGTTTTCCGACCCTCTCCAGTTGAGAGTCTATACACTGAATCAGGACTACTACCCATCCCTCTCTCGAAGTTCGTCTCTTCTGTTTCTAAGAAGCTATGCTGCTCGCTTTCACCAAATTTTCTCTCCCAAGCTCACTGTCCCTCAATCATTCTTCATTAGCTTCTCTTCCTCTCCACGTTACCTGTCTTTCCCTGTTGTATAGTCGCTCTTCTTCCCCATTCATCCTTTCCTCGTCTCCAACTCTTCCTTTTCTGCCCTAGCTTTCCCTCCCTGGCTAATACCTACCTCTTGAATTGTTCTTCTATTTCCTTGATCTAACTTAACACCTTTTTATCCTCCTCTAGTACTCATGTCTATACTGACGGGCTCTAAATCCAACTCAGGTGCTGGTTTTGCCGTAGTCTTTCCCTCTCACACACAGAGCTTTCCTTGTTCTGCCTGAATCGTCCTTACACAGATGCTATCTCTTTACAACGTACTAGAACTTTGGAGCCCCTCTGAAACAACTAACTTTCTACCTCTCATACACTCACACTCACCCCACTATATAACTACAATCCACACACCCTATCAACCCTATAGCCCATAAGATAC